TTCTTAACCTTATTTTTTCAAAGCCCAATTGTTTTTAGGACACGGTGTGCAGAATGTGAGTTTTTTCATAAACACATATATCACATTATGGAAGAAAGTCCTGTCTGAGAGGAAGGGGTAACCTATCAGGAACAGAATAGGGCTGAGGTGTGGGATATGGAAACAGACTAGGAGTTCAGATGGGGACATTGACCTCATAAATTGGAGAGGATGTCCTCTTCTAAGACAGGTGCGATAGGAGATGTGTAGGTGGTAATGAGTTTGAAAATAGGGAGGAAGGACATAGAGGCCTCTGTTTTCTAAGTTAGGGCACTGATTGATGGGAGTGAGAAGAGTGGCTAGAGATCTTGAGAAGAATGGTAGAAGTTTTAGAACAGCTGCTATGGGAAATGAGAAAGGGAGTTGAGAAGAGCCAAGTAAAAATATTGTTGCTATTTGAGACCTAAGTGTCTTTGAGACCTTCACTGAGCTTGGACAATGTTGTTTTGTAATAATGTCAATTAGTTTTATAATTTTTTTCAACAGTCTTGAAAACACATAACAGGAGTCAAAAATAAACTGGCTGGATCATTTAGTACTGGGGATTTAGTAAACTGAATGAAACATAAGGATAAGAGAGGTGCAGGAATCGAGCTATTTATTCTTGTAGTTGAAATGACTGACTTTGCTGGACATGCTAAGAAAGTATGGCTAAAAGGGCACACAGGATTAGAGGTGCCAAGGAGACCAAACATGGTCAGGATAACATATGCAGAAGAGGTAAATTGGGATGGCAGGCAATGATGGAGCTTTCAAGATTGGAGTGGGGAACTGGTTGAGGTAATGATGAGGACCAGGGCTACCTGAGTGTTTGGGAGAAATGAGATTTAATGAATGCCCAATGAACAGAGAATAGAAGGGAGAGAGGCAATTCCAAGATATGGGGATTCAGAAGGGTTTTCATTGAATAGAGAGACATGTGGGGTAGGGCCTTCTTTAACAATGATTTACTTTTTTTTTTTTTTTGAGACAGCGTCTCACTCTGTCATCGGGGCTAGAGTGCCATGGCGTCAACCTAGCTCACAGCAACCTCAAACTCCTGTGCTCAAGCAATCCTTCTGCCTCAGCCTCCCAAGTAGCTGGGACTACAGGCGTGTGCCACCATGCCCAGCTAGTTTTTTATATATATATTTTTTAGTTGTCCAGCTAATTTCTTTCTATTTTTTTAGTAGAGACGGGGTCTCGCTCTTGCTCAGGCTGGTCTCGAACTCCTGAGCTCAAACAATCCTCCCACCTCGGCCTCCCAGAGTACTAGGATTACAGGCATGAGCCACCATGCCTGGCTATGATTTACATTTTTATCTGTTAAATAATGTACTTTAGTTTGTTTGGACAAACAGTCTTAACAGTTAGTTTGAACTAGATCAAATAGCAACTTTCATAGGTCAAAATGATCAGTTATAGATAATTTCATCTGTTTCAACCAAATCAGTTTATTAATAATATCAACAACTAAGAGACTATGAATGTTTTCTCTCAACCAGTAACTGGCATCATGGCTCTTTCCAGCTTGCTATATCTCTGGTTTCCATCAAGCTTACATGTGATTTATTAATATCCAGCTATGGAGAACTGGAAAATTAAACTCTAAAAAGTACACCTTAAGAAAAACATTTATTATTGCTGCTCTCTGTTCAAGTTTTTGTAGACACTCTACTGAGTATGTTTACTTGGGTTATTTAGTTTAACATAGAACAAAAATTCTACCAGGTAGAAACTCCTCTATTCCCCATTTTACAGGGAATAAGCACAGAGAGTATAGGTCTCTTCTTTAAGGGCACACACAGCTATTAAGAAGGGGAGCAAGGATTTGATCCTAGAGATTCTGGCTCCAAGGCTTGCACACTTAACCCATGTTCAAAGCCGCATGTTGCAATCATTGCAAAATTATGTTTTAACCAAATTCCTACCTGTTGGTCCATATTCATTTTGTTTTTTTCCAAGTACAACGTCAGGAGTGAAATGAATGTATTCTCCTTTCTCTTCACATTCTGTGAACTGCCTGGTGTATGGCTCATCTCCCCCTGAGAGGGTAGGTGGTGCAACTATAACATCAGCCTGAGAATGTTTAAAAAGATTGTTAAAATAGCAAAAATAGAAATGACAATGTTTAGTTAGAAAGACTCTTAATCAATTTGTGGCAAAACTGGAGGGTATCAGAAAAGATAATTTTTTAAGAGAAGATTTTCACACTTACGTGTTTGTAGTTTTCATGTTTTGGCCTCTTGTACTGAGAATTTTCCCCCCAATTCTCAGGAATTAATATAGATACATTTTTGAAAAAAAGTCTTTGTTCTGTGGCTTCAAACAGGTAAGTAGAAGCTGTAGTCACCATGTCCTATTATTAAAGGAAAAAAATATGTCAATATGGCCAAGTGAGAGTGGACTAAGAGAGCAGGTGTAACAGGCATTTCCCAACTTAAGAGTGGATAGAAAAAGCAACTGCCTGATGAGCAGAGTCTCTGTCTTACTATTCCAACTGTGCCACCTGTCAGTCCTGCACATTGAAAGGCACCTGAGTCTTCTATAATCCTACCTCAAAAGGCAAATGCTTATGCTTGGCATTAAGAGAAATTGATTAATATTAATAGGTACATGAACTTTGGAGTCATTTACTTGATACCAATAACTAATACTAAAAAGTGTTAGCACTTTTTGGGCGAAGACCTTGGTTGATTTATGTAATGCTCTGAAGCTCAGTTTTCTCATCTCTCCAGTGGATTATCACTACCTATCTGTATGGTTGGCATAACGATGGAATCAATTATTAAGTACTCTATACATAGGCAGTCTGAAAACCTTGATATTATTACTGTTTATAAGAAATATTAGTAGAGAACAGCATTAGCTGATGCAAGCTGAGGAGGATAGTCCATAAAATGGGTCATAAAAGAAGTTTTTCATTACCCACCCCACCTCCAGGAGAGGCAGCTGGACTGGGAGCATGGGTGTGGGGTGATGGAAAAATCCATAGTAGAGGCAAAATTTTGATCACAGAGCTGTTGCTTTGCCACCAAACTGAAAATATCACCGTATATTTAGAATTATGAGCCCAGATACAATGACAATAAGAGAAATCGTCTCTCCCTAGAGCTTATATCTTGTGGGGTAAACAGATGGGTGGAAGGCACTTGTGGTAATCTATTCCATATGATGAAGGCCACTAAATAATTGAGGAATCCTGGGTGCTGGATGATGATACCGATCTCTTCATCTTGCTGAAAGTGTCCCATTCTACAGTGTTGTTTTCTTCAAGGTAGGCTCTTCCATGGTGCTTCCTGTTTTTCTTCAGGAATTACAGGGATCTCTTCCTGGTTCTCTTTAAGAGAGTCCAGTGTGCTGACTCATATGTACTGCGTGTGGTCAGCAAACTTACTGGGCTCAGAGCCATGAGATCAGTCGGAAGGCCAGAGTTCAAAGAACTGAAGGCCCAGAGGATTGTCTGGAGGTTCGGAAAAGGGCTTAAGAGAGCTCCCAATGTAGAGCACAGGTTACTTCAGTACTGACCTAAAGAAGGTTAAAGAATTCTCTCTTTATTCCCTAAGGATGCCTCTCCTCTTTTTTTGTTTAGGGATATTTAGATCTCAACAGGTTATCACCTTCTACTTGAAGTGATGGCTCTCTGTGAGTATGAGACAAAAGTATATTTGGTGGTTCAAACTGAGTTATGGGTTGAAGATGTCGGGTTGCTGTGTATGGTTGTGTGAGTTGTGCATTGTACAACTTGAAGGGATTCCATTTACTTTGGAGTCTCCATGGCCCCAGCTACTGCCTTGGATAGTGATATGTTCTCATACTGTGGAGAGATTTCAGGGACCCCTATTAGAGGACTGTCATCCCCTGGACTGTCCTAGCGTGGTTAATAATGGTTCCCACAGGGTTTCCAAGCAGAATTCCTATAATAGTTCTTCTAAATTCCTTCTCAGAATTTCTATAATATCTTAGCTGGATTAAGGAAGATGAAGATATGAATGTTTCCAAAAGTAAGTACTCTCAAACCAAGAAGAATAATGAGCACAAAGAAAATGGGAAGCTGAAAATCTAACATCTCAAGTCATGAATTATGAGCCAGTTTAGCATAAATCTTATTAGGGTCAGATAGTATCTTTAGGAGTAGGATTAAGACCACAAAAACAAACACCACATGTACTCACCATTAAATTGGAACTAATCGATATATATGTAAATAACATTCATTGGAAATCAAACAGGTGTGTGGGGCGGTGGGGTGGGGGAGGGATGGGTAAATTCACACCTAACGGGTACAATGCACACTATCTGGGTGATGAGCACACTTAAAACTTTGACTCAAATTGTACCAAAGCAATTTATGTAAACAAAACGTTTGTATCCCCATAATATTCTGAAATTTTTTAAAAAAGGCCACGTATCAGTTGACCAGATTTTCACAAAAGAGTGACTTTCTTTTGTCATTTTTATCCAAGCCAGAACTCAAATCCAGGTCTATCTAGTCTTCCATACTTATGTGCTGGATCTTACCTCTGATTGTGCTACCTATTGTCACCTTGGAAAAGTCATTTAACCTTTCTGAACATGTTTTCTCTTCTGTGTAATGTGGATGATAGTATTTCACAAGGTTGCTTGATGATGTAAATGCAAGGACTTTGTAGGAGGCTGGGAGAATGATGAGAAACACTTTAATCTAGGCATGTCTGCAAATGACTGAATTTCTATTTGTAGTTATCAATAGAAGACCATGTTAACAAACTTTTTGCCCTACAAATAATTCTTTCAGATACTGATTTCTCAGTAAAGAATAGTTTGACACTGGACACTAAGAATCTATCATTCAGAATCAGCTGCATTAACTGCTCTTCAAACCTCTTTAGTAAAGGGAATCTTTATTACACTCTAGAATTCAAAAGGTACCAATAAGCAAACATCTCTACGATGCAACAGAGTTTATAGAGCATGAGTGCAAATGGATCTGCCACAGAGTCACCTGATCACCAGTGGGTCATGACCATCAGCTTCTGTTGGGTAACGACACCATGCAGAAGGTTACAACAGTGAATGTCAGGACCCAGCAGTGGAGAAATTAAAAATGAGGAATTAGTAGGTGTTGATATCAGGGACAGAAGAAACAATTTACACGGCTGTATCACCAATTTCTACATTACAGGGAATATTATAGTTGGAAGAAACATTAGAAATCAGAGTCCTTTGTTTCGTTCTGGAGCCTTTCCCTTTTCCATCTGCACTTACCTAGTGAACTCATGGCTTTAAATACCATCTACACCCTGACTCCCAAATGTTTATTTCCACCCAAATTTTCATCTTGTATTTAGATTCTTGCTTCTAGTTGGCTTTTTCAGAAGTATCACAAATTCAAAATGCCCAACTAACTCCCAATTTCCCAACTGCCAAGTTTTTTCCACTTAGTCTTATAATTCCATCCTTCCAAGTGTTCGAGAAAAACTCTTAAAGCCTTACTTAACTCTTTTTTGTTTCTTTTGACATGGGGTCTCACTCTGTCTCCAAGTTAAAGTGATGTGATCATAGCTCAAGCAGCCCCAAATACCTGGGCTCAAGCAATCCTTCTGTCTCAGCCTCCTGAGTGGCTGGGATTACAGGCCTGCACCACCACACTTGGCTAATTTTAAATTTTTTTAGAGAAGGAGTCTTGCTATGTTGCCCAGGCTGACCTTGAACTCCTGGCCTCAAGCAGTCCTCCCACCTAAGCCTCCTGAATTGCTGGGGTTACAAGAGTGAGCCACTGTGCCTGGCTACTTTCCTTGACTCTTCTATTTCCTCCCCACCCTCCCCCACCCCACACATCTAAACCATCAGGAAATTTTGTCTATGATACCCTCAAAATATGAACAGAATCACATCACTTTAGTGATCTCTACCACAACCTCCCTGTTCTTAGTCACCATCACTGCTCACCTGTGAGAGTTTCCTACCTGGGTCCTTCTACACTTCCGAGCTACCACAGAGTCTATACAGGATGAGTGACAAGTGGCAATCCTTTACAGTTTCCTCAACACTGTAATCAAAGTAATCCCAGAACACGCATGAGAGCACACCTTCCTCTGTTCAGAGTCTTCCTGTGGAGTCTCATTTCACTCAGATAAAAGCCAGTCTTTCCAGTGATTTGGGCACTACTACCTCTCTAACTTCAGCTCATCCTCCCCTTCCTCCTGCTCATTCACAGTTGTTTGCTTGGTCACATCAAGCATGCTCTCACCTCTATGTTGTTCCCACGCCCCAGGTTTTCAATGGGCTCTTCTTTCACGTTGTCAGTGAGGCCTTCTCTCGCTGCCTTATGTGAAACAGTAACCCGCATTCTCATCCAACCCAGCGCCACCTAACACTCTATATCCCCCTTTCCTGGTCATTTTACTTCACAGCAACCTACTACCATATGACCTGCTGTTCATTTACTCATACTTATTAACTGTATTTCTGAAAAGCATATATACTCCATGAAGCCAGAGACTTTTTAAGAATTCACTGCTCTCTCTTCCCGCATGCCATAGCATTCAATAAACAATTCTTTAAAGAACATATGAGTCCAACTGTCAATTTACAGATGAAGAAACTGGGGAATCAGGGAGCCCCTGTGCCTTGTTTTTCATGTGGTTGTGAGACAGTGTAGAACTCTATCTAAAACCTCTGTCTTCCCCTGCCCATTCCTGCATTGTCCTCCCTGCACCATGCTGCTTTTTAACTTCCTGCAGCATTCAAAAGTTTCACAATAATTAATCACTATTAAATTTGTTTTCTTCTCCACAATTCAAACAAAAACAAATGTCATTTCTTGGGAGAAAATATTTCTAAACTATTCATCCAACAAAGGATTAATATTAAAAAGGATTAAAAAAGAAGACAAATGACCATCATGTATATGAAAAATGCTCAACATCATTAATCATCAGGGAAATAGACATCAAAACCACAGTGAGATAGCATCTCACCTTGCTTAGAACGGCTATTATTAAAAAGACAAAAAATAATAAATATTGTTAAAGATGTAGAGAAAAGGGAACTCTTATACACTGTTGGTGGGAATGTAAATTAGTACAGCCATTATGGAAAAACAATATGGAGGTTCCTGAAAAAACTAAAAATAGAACTACTATATGATCCAGCAATCCCATTACTGGTTGTATATCCAAAAAGAAAGGAAATTAATATATCAAGGTGATATCTGCACTCCCATGTTTATTTCAGCACTGTGCACAATAGCCAAGATATGGAATAAACCCAAGTGTCCAAAAACAGATGACTAGATAAAGAAAATGTGGCATATATACATAATGGAATACTATTCAGCCATAAAAAGAGTGAAATCCTGTCATTAGTGGCAACATGGATGAGTCTGGAGGACATTATGTTAAATGAAATAAGCCAGGCACAGAAAGATAAATACCACATGTTCTCACTCATATGTGGGAGCTAAAAAAAGTCAATCTCATGGAGGTAGAGAGTAGAATGGCTGGTACCAGAGGCCAGGAGAGGTAGAGGAGTGAGGGGAGGATGAAGAGAAGTTGATTAATGGGTACAAGAAATACTAGTATTCAATGGTGCAATAGGGAAATTATAGTTAAAAATAATTTATTATATATTTCAAAATAGCTAGAAGAATCATAATGTTCCCAACACTAAGAAAAGATAAATGCGGTGACAGATATGCTGATTACCCTGATGTGATTATTATACATTATATATGTGTATTGAAATATTACTTTGTACCCTATGAATATGTACAACAATCATGTGTCAATTAAAAATAATAAAAAATTAAAAATAAGACATCCCATCTCTTCCTTACCTTTATTTGTTCAATTATTTTTTCATCTTCTGGCACACCAGGATCTATAGCAATGATAACGTCTTCATAACCATTGCCATTCAGCCTAACGAAGGAAGTATTTGATTTGTGCGGCAGGTACAGGATTAAGAGAAAAATAAAACCTCTGAGTAACACCATTGTTCCTGTCTAATTGTTCCTGATCCGAATGTTGGTTTGTTCAAGAGGCTTTTCATTTATCTTATTTTTCTCCATGTATATATACTCCTAAAAATGATCAGTGTTGGCTGATTATGGGATGTTGACTGTACAAAGGTCAATGTTACCTATCCGGGAAATGTTTAACTTCAATTCAATCATTTTATCGTATGTTACTGTAAAAGTGATTAAGAAACATAGGGGAAATCAGATCTTTTTATAAAATACATTACACATCTTCCTCTTGGGACACATTTTCTATACTTTCTAATTTTGGTTAATTTCTTAAATATAGACATATACTTTATATTTTCTGTAGAGTACAATGTGAAGATTAATAACAATCCACAATAAAATGAAGAGACATAGTAATACTAATGTTGCTCTTCACTTTTACAAAGCAACTTAGTTATTAGCTAGATTATTTATAATGGTATAAATGATGGAAGAGAATATAAAATTATTAAATGTAAATAACATCAAATTAAATAAGATGGGTTTGAGACCAAAGATTTTAAAGGCTTTAATAAATTTAGGAAGATTTGATAAAGTCAAGTTATTAGAGTAAACTGAAAAAAAAATCCTTCCCAGTAAAAAATGAATAGAATTTGTTGTTCTACAAGCATATCAAGAACACCTACTGGTTAATGTTGAGGCAGAGTGAATAATATTAATAGTATTTATTCAGTGCTTACCAGGGCACAGATTCTCTCACTTAATCCTCACTGCAATTCTCAAAGCTAAGCATGGATATAATTTTAATTTTATGTGTGGAGGAACTAAGGCACATAGGCAGTCTGAATCTGGAGCCAGCATTCTTACGCCAGAGCCCATGGATTTAATCACTCCATGATAAGGCAATGTTGCTTTATTAGGCAAGTAATGTAATAAGTTAAGGGAGAGAGAGAGAGAGAGAGTGAGAAAGGGGCTGGGCATGGTGGCTAAGAGAGTCTAAACCAGATCCAACTCAGGCAAACAGGCTCATACGGGTCATTCAAAAGGGTTGGATTGCCTTGTTTATTACTGGATCAAAGAAGAGCTTTGAAAAAAGTTGGTTGTTATGTGTTAAATTTTAGTGTGTAATAGAAAAATGTATCCAACATATTAAACTTGCATTTTCACCAATATCACTGTGAGAATGATACCAAGTTTGTTTGTTTGTTTTCTTTTTTTATTGATACATAACAATTATACATATTTATGGGGTACATGGGATATTTTGATACATGCATACAATGTGTAATGATCAAATCAGGGTAATCAGCATATCCATCACCTCAAATATTTATCATTTCTTTGTGCTGGGAACATTTCAAATCTTCTCTTCTAGCTCTTTTGAAATGTACAATAAATTATTGTTAACTATAGTCACCCTACTGAGCTACTGAACACTAGAACTTATTCCTTCTATCTAATTGTACATTTACACCCATTAACCAACCTCTCATCATTCCCCCTCCCAACATACAGCCTTCCTAGCCTCTGGTATCAATCATTCTACTCTCTACCTCCATGAAGTCAACATTTTAGGTCCCACATATGAGTAAGAACATGTAATATTTGTCTTTCTGGGCCTGGTTTATTTCACTCAACATAATGACCTCCAGTTCCATCTATGTTGCTGTAGATGACATGACTTCATTCTTTTTTATGGTCATATAGTGTTCCATTGTGTATACAAGATGTGTCCAGAAAGTATCCAGCCATTGCTAATATAACGGGAATGGTTTGTGCAACAACCATGTAACTTGGCAGCCAAGGAGAGTGGACTGGCATGTGCATGCATGAACAATGATGACTTCACTGTACTAGTCAGTGGGCGCTAGACACCACTGAGTGAGCATGTGTACTGTGTGGCTGTCTCATTCAAAATGACTGAGTAAAACAACGAATTTGCATCAGATTTTGCGTTAAGCTTGAACATTCCTCTGTGGAAACTATTTGGATGATTCAGAAGGCTTTCAGGTATGATGCAATGAGTGCAGCGCAAATAAAAGTATGGCACAAATGCTTCAAAGAAGGTGGAGAATCTGTTGAAAGTGATCCATATTCTGGAAGGCCTGCAACAAGTAGAACACCTGAGAATGCTGAATGTGTACCGGTAGGTTAAGTGATGCTGGGAGAACCCTGTGAGGTCCCAAGGTGCCTGCTTTGAGGCCTCATTGTCTTAGGTACAATGTTTCTTGTATCTTGTACCTTCTACAATAGATGTCTCTATTTTTCATATTACATGGCTGGATACTTTCTGGATAGACTTCGTATATATATAACATTTACTTTATCCATGCGTCCTTTGATGGACGCTTATGTTTATTCTTTCTTTATTTTTTTTTTAAATTTCAGCATATTATAGGGGTGCAGATGTTTAGGTTACGTATGTTGCCTTTGTCCGCCCTGCCAAGTCCGAGTTTCAAATATGTCCATTCTTCAGGTGGTGCGCATTGCACTCTTTCTGTATGCATATACCCGTCCCCCACTCCCTCCTCCCCCTCCCCCCTGCCCAGCATCCAATAGATGTTATTCTTATATATGCACTTATGTGTTGATCAGTTAATACCAATTTGATGGTGAGTACATGGGCTGCTTGTCTTTCCATTCTTGGTTTACCTCACTTAGTAGAATGTGTTCCAGCTCTATCCAGGAGTATTATTCTTTATTGTGGCTATTGTGAATAGTGCTGCAATAAACATAAGGTGCAGATTTCCCTTTGTATCCTGATTTCTTTCCCTTTGGATACATGCCCAAGTGGTATTTCTGGATCGTATGGTAGTTCTATTTTTTATTTTTTTCTTTTAAAGTGAATTGATTTAAAGAAAAATATTAGGAAAATAGTAAAATGAGTATGCGAACATAGCAACAATCCTGAAGTTGGTTTGTGCATGCATGAGGTTAGGAAACCTAGTCCATAGAAGTATATGTAGAATTATTTCATTCTTTTTAAATGGTGAATATAATTTTATAATACAGATTAACCACAATTTAAGAATTCCTTATTAATGAGCATTTATATGTATTTAGGTTTCCAGTATTGGGTATTATAAAATGTAAGGGAAAGTTTTCCCCCATACCTACACTAGTGTCAGAAATTGCATATTTAAAAATTATTTTTGCTGCTTTTGGTTGTTATTGTTGGTGGTGCTTATATTTCATTAATTTCTTTCTTCATCATTAGTTATTGCTTATATTACTTTTAGGTTTATAATTTAATTCTCTTTCTAGATTCTCAAATTGATTAGCTAACTTATTTATTTTTATTATTGTTTATGAATAAGTGCTAAAACAAGTACATTCAGTACTATTTTGGCTGTATCCCACAAGTTTGTTTTTTTGTTTTTTTTTTTTTTGAGACAGAGTCTCATTCTCTTGCTTGGGCTAGAGTGAGTGCCGTGGCGTCAGCCTAGCTCACAGCAACCTCAAACTCCTGGGCTCAAGCGATCCTCCTGCCTCAGCCTCCCAGGTAGCTGGGACCACAGGCACGCGCCACCATGCCCGGCTAATTTTTTCTATTTTTAGTTGTTTGGCCAATTTCTTTCTATTTTTAGTAGAGACAGGGTTTCGCTCTTGCTCAGGCTGGTCTCAAACTCCTGAGCTCAAACGATCCGCCCGCCTGGGCCTCCCAGAGTGCTGGGATTACAGGCGTGAACCACCGCCTGCGGCCCACAAGTTTTAATATATAGTGTTACAGTCTAGATACTTTGTTTTATTCCGCTCATGTATTTGACATTTGTTTCTACATAGTTTATAATTTTAATTTTGATTTTTCTCTCTAATTCTATACAAAGTTAGAGATATTTAATACATTTAATGCTGAGGCTATTTTGCTAAAATCCTCCCAGTGTTCTCGAATATCATATACTAATTCAGATTTGATTATACTGATTTTTGTGTTAGTTTTTCATAATATCTCTAGATCTCTAGGTTGATATGTGAAATACTACAAAATTAGGAAACATTTTATTTTTGCAAATGTAATTACTATGCATTGCTTCTTTATAAAACCTTTATTGTGTATAAAAACATTTATTCAACTTCAAAGTACAGTTTTTGTTAGGTTTAGTTATCAGATCATAACTCAAAAAGGAAAATAGTTTCTAAAGTTAAATTAATAATTGATTCCAATGGGTAACAGATTCTATGATATAGCATTGATAGTTTGGGTGAACGTTTAAGATGTTAGGAGAACTTATCTTTACTGGGTTAATAATTCCCTCTTCTACTCTCTTTCTGGCTCAAACAGACATTTTATTACCTGCAATAAGCCAAAGTGGATTCACATTTGAATGAAAAACACTGTTTTTCAAGAGCCATAAAAGAAATGGATTTGTATTCTCCCAGGATACATTTAGTAATAAAGGAATTTCCTTATATTCTTTACAGGGAGAATGAATATGCCAAGTACAGAAAATGGGATATGAGTTTTATGTTTTTTATTTCTTTTTAACATCCCATTCCAGAATCTCCTCTTCTCTGGGAAATTAGTTGAACAACACTGAATTCTCCAGGGAGAGTCAGAACTTCTGATTTCTATGGTAACAGAGAAGTCTCCCCTCACCAGACTTTTAAATCATGGATCAGTTACATGCTAAGAGAGTAATAGCCATTTTCTTTCTCTATGAGAAGACTTGGATTCTTATTGAAGTAGGCATGTGGTCATGATTTCATTTTTTATTTCCTGGAAGGAATAATATTTGTAAGATTTTTATTTAAAAAAAATGGAAAGAGTTTCTTTTTGAACTGAAAAGCTGAGTTATCCTTATGCAATTTTTTGAAGGCAACGCTAGATTTTAATATTTTTTTGACTGCTATATTTTACTTTATTTTGCACGTAAGGAAAACCAATTGACTAAGCAGTTTCAGAACTGCTAGTATTCATTGATCGAGAAGGAAATGAGGTCAGAAGGCAAAGTTTTCATTTCTTCCCAAATACATATTGCAAGTATCACAGAAACTCATAACAACACATGCAGCATGGGCTGGTTTTC